ACATGTTATCTGCTGCTTCCAGGAAGGAAGAGGAGAAGGTTCAGAACGCCCTTCTGCACCTGCTGTATTGTGTGTGGGGCGGGGGGGAGTTGTTTTTGCTTTGTTTTTTGAAGTGTCAGTAGCTCAAGACAATATTCTGGTTTCCTTTACATCTAAGTCCTTTACCTGGCGTCTGGCTTCTGACAGGAGGAGGGACACGTTTCTGACATGACGGGCTGGGCAGGCAAGGAGGGATAAGATGGGTGCGGGCCCGTGCCTGTTCTCATGTGTTGGGAAGATGATTCTGCTTTTGCCAGATGGGATCTAATTTGTCCATGAACAATCTAGCAAGATATCAGCTGAAAAGAGGAAGAGCAAAGGTCAGAAGAACGTGGAGAAGACGGATGATAGATGCTGGGGTTTCCTGAGCAGTGATTTCATCAGAGGCACATGCACATCCCTGGTCTCTGGACCACCATGTTTAAGGCCGATTTGGTGTGTAGGTCATTTTCAATGTACGGTGGTACCATCAGGCCACTTTGGGGTACTGTCTCCGGCTAACCTGAATGGTGCCGTCGTGCCCACGTAAGACGGGGCTCACCCGGGGTTGGTATGGTGCCAGAGAAAGGGAGACAGCGGTATGTCATTGAGCTTACGGTATTTCTAAGAGAGTGACTCTCTGAAGTGACTGAGGTAGGAAAGCAGATGGATATCTGTCTCCTTGTTTGTTGGGTATGGGGATGGGGAATTTGTTTATTTTCTGGATGAGGTGAAAGAACTCTTAAAGTGAAGGTGTTTCTACAAGGGGTCTGTCAGGATGAGAGGGTGCAGGTCAGTCCATATGCCAAGAAATCCAGAGAATCTATAATGGCTCAGACTCAGGTCTTTTCTCAGAAACAGGCAGAGACAGGAGTTGGCTTTGGTCACCACAAAGCTAACTGGCACCTCAGTAGTCTCGACAGAAGGTTCCCAAAATGAATTGATTTGCAGGGGCCAGCACGCCTGCAGCCATCTGCCCTCAGGTCTCAGCCCCCAGGTGGGGTACCTTTCACAGGAGAGATTTATTTCCTCCTAAAAAGAAAAAAGAGGTAAAAAGTGTCTCTCTTGCATGGCTCTTTTCTTAAGTAACATTAATTCAAAATAATCAATGTCACTAAGGCATACTTTGAGGGAAATGCCCTCAAATGCCCCCACTCCCCTGATTCCAGGGGAGACTTCAGGGTCCTCTTAGGTGGGAAGCACGAGGACCAACCATCTGCATCCAGGATCCCATCTGTAAGACCACACAGATGTGACATCAACAGAAATGTAAACAAATCTGCTTGTGTGTGAGAGACAGAGACAGACAGACCCTGCGAGAGATGCACCACACCGTTCAAGATGGCCACCTCTGGGGGCAGGGTTGGCAAACCTCTTTTCTTTAGGTCACATTTCAATTTTTTATAACATGTGTGTATTACTTTAATAATTATAAAAAGATTACAATCATATGTCAAGTGTGATCCATTCATCACTCATCTATGGAGTAATTAAAGTACAATATTTATTTTTAAAATAAAAATGATTTATTAAAAGATTTATTACAAGGACAATAAACATTTATAACAGTAAAGTAATGAATTCTAAAGGAATTAAGAATCAAGTAAAGAACAAAAGTTTTTGGTGACTCAGTACCAGGCCAGCTAGGTGGCAGTACATAGCAGGGTTGGGGCAAGTTTCTCCAGGAGGTTGTATGTGTTCTGAATCAGCCTCCAATAGAGGTGAGGGAAAAGGTGTACAAGAATTGTACACTGAACACATGCAGATTAGAAGAGACAGTCTAGTTATTTTTTTTAATTAATTAATTTATTTATTTATGGTTGCGTTGGGTCTTCGTTGCTGCACGCAGGCTTTCTCTAGTTGCGGAAAGCGGGGGTTACTCTTCGTTGCCTACTCTTCGTTGCCGTGCGTGGGCTTCTCATTGCGGTGGCTTCTCTTGTTGAGGAGCACGGGCTCTAGGTGCACGGGCTTCAGTAGTTGCCACACGCGGGCTCAGTAGTTGTGGCTCACGGGCTTAGTTGCCCCACGGCATGTGGGATCTTCCTGGACCAGGGATCGAACCCACGTCCCGTGCATTGGCAGGTGGACTCTTAACCACTGCACCACCAGGGAAGTCCCATCTTGGGTGTTCTGGATGACCTGGATGTGGTAGAAACAGTGGGATTTCTAATTCCAGTTTTCCACATCAACCCACCAAAAATCTATTAGAGAAATTAAGAAAACAACCCCATTTACCGTAACATCAGAAGAACAAAATACCTAGGATTAAACTTACCCAAAGATGTGAAAGACCTGCACACTGAAAATGTTATGACATTGATGAAGAAATTGAAGACGTAAATAAATGGAAAGATACCCTGTGCTCGTGGATAGAAAGAATTAGTAGTGCTAAAATGTTCATTCTACCCAAATATACACATTCAATGCAATTCCTACAAAAATGCCAAAGGCATTTTTCCCAGAAACTGAACAAACAGTCCTGACATTTGTATGGAAACACAAAGGACCCCGAACAGCCAAGGGGATCCTGAGAAAGGAGAACAGCAGCTGGAGGAAACTCACTCCCTGACTTCAAACCATATTACGAAGCTACAGTAACCAAACAGTGTAGAAATGACACAGAAAGAGACAAAGGGGCCGTAAGAATAGAATAGAGAGCCCAAGAATAAGCCCACACACATGTGTTCAGTTAATTTATGCCAAAGCTGCCAAGGACATGCCCCAGGGAAAGGACAGTCCCCTCAATAAACTGCCTGGAAAATGGAACATCACAAGCCAGAGGAGGACACGGGACACTGCACCACACACAAAACTCACTAAAACCCACAGTTTTCCACATCAAGCCCCTCCTCTGCTGGGTCCTCTGGAAACAGATACCCACCCCAGGCAGTCAGCCAGGCAGTCAGCACAGCAAGCTTCTCCCCACTTTTTCCTCACCTTTTTCTCCCAGGGAGGCACCTCCCAGCCAGTCCTGAGGAAACCGAGCTCGTCTCAACGTGGATACAGCCCTGCACTGTCCCGAAGCCAAATCCTTGGAGGTTCCTGAGGAGGCCAGGCTCCTGTCAGCTGTGCACAGGGCCAGCCCTGTGTGCAGAAAAGGCAGGTGCGCACTGGTAAGAGGAGTGGGCTTGTCACCCTGTGCTGGCAAAGTGGGAAATGCAGGCTGCACCCACTCCCAGTTCAGAGGAGATCGAGTTCCCTGCTGGCCGTCCTGCTGAATCCACTAATGTTTGGAAATTCAAACATGGCAGCAAATATGCCATGACTTCTTGAAAAATAGGTATAGAACAATCAGAAACCATATGCAATGAAATGAATGTAGACACAGACTTTGCAACTTACACCAAAAGTCATTCCAAAGTGTCCACAGACAAATTTAAAATATAAAACTATAAAAACTATAAAAGAAAACATAGAAGAAAATCTACATGACCATGGGTTTGGGCACATAGATCATGAGGTTTGACTTTTAACACACAACACAAAAAGCCAATGCACAAAAGGAAAAAAGTTAGTAACATGTTCTTTGTAAACTAATTTTTTTTATTGAAGTATAGTTGATTTACAATGTTGTGTTAGGGCTTCCCTGGTGGCAGTGGTTGAGAGTCCGCCTGCCGATGCAGGGGACGCGGGTTTGTGCTCCGGTCTGGGAAGATCCCACATGCCGCGGAGCGGCTGTGCCCGTGAGCCATGGCCGCTGAGCCTGCGCGTCCGAAGCCTGTTGCTCCGCAACGGGAGAGGCCATAACAGTGAGGGGCCCGCGCACCGCAAAAAAAAAAAAAAAAAAAAAAAACACCATACAATGTTGTGTTAATTTCTGCTGTACAGCAAAGTGACTCAGTTATTATACACATATATACATTCTTTTCCATTATGGTTTATCCCAGTAACGTGTTCTTTATAAAATTAAGAATTTCTACTCGGTGAAATGCCTTTTCCAGAAAACTGAAAAACAAGCAATAAACTGTGAGAAAAATATTTGCAAAACACATATCTGATAAAGAATTTGTACTCAAATTATACAAAGAACTGTAAAACAAACAACTGCATTAAAAATGGGTGAAGATCTGAATAGATGTCTGGCCAAAGAAGATAAACAGATAATAAGTGGCCAAAAACATGATCAACATCATATACCATTAGGGAATCACAAAGTAAAGCAAGACAGCGATACGGACCTATGAGAACTACTAACCTCCTCCCACAAGGACGACCCTGATCACTGGAGGGTGGGGAACAACAGCTCTCCTTCATCGCCGATGGAACGCGTAGACGGCCTTGAGATACAGTTTGGCAGGATTTTCCAAAGCCAAACAAGTCTCACACCTTGAGATAATTACACAACTTCTCACACCTTCAATAATTACACAACTGCTTTGTAAAACTCTATCCAAACAAAAGCAAGGATGCTATTGTGCACAGAAACTCTACTCATAATGTCTAAACCTAAATGGAATCAGGATGTCTTCAGTAGATGGATGCATAAGCAAACTGGGGTACATCCATGTGAAGGGGAGCAAAATGTGAAACGCCAAAATACGGAATTTCTAGAGACCCCAAAGAGCTAAAACAATTTTTCAAAAGAAATTCAAAGTTGGAGGGTCACACTGCCCAATTTCAAATGTTAGTACACAGCAGCGGTAAATAAAATACTCCCCTCTCCTGAAGTGTGGGTGCCACACAGTGGCTTCATCCTAAAGAAGACACACAGTACAGACTTAGGGAAAAAGTAACTTCACAGTGGGGAAAATCTGACAAACACTACCTGAGCCAGAAGGGCAAAGCTAACATGAACAGTGATAAGTTGCCCTGATGTATGTTCCCACGATATAAAGTCACAAGAAAGCACTTTACCCCTGTGATCTGCTTCCTCAAAACCCGTGACCCCATTTTAATCACAAGAAAAACACCAAGTAAATCCCAATGCGGGACAATCTACGAAATACCTGACTAGGCCACCTCAACACTGCTGAGGTCATAGAGTGAAGGACAGTGTGAGAAAATGTCAAAGCCGAAAACATACTAAAGTGACATTATGACTCAATGCCACGGGATACCCTGGATGGGATCCTAGGACACAAAATGGAAGAACGAAGGGAACCCAAATAAAATATGGATTTTAGTTAACAATAAGGTACCCATATTTGTTCGTAATTGTGACAATTCTGTTGAAAACTAGAGAAAGAGGAAAAATTAAAACTCAAATAAGAGAAACCTATTGCATCAAACTGGAAATCCACAGGAAATTGGTGATTTCCTAGCAAAAGCACACAATAACAAAATGCATGTTAAAATAAGGAAAATACAAACAGACCAACTCGCCTCCCAGGGACTTCCTTCCCCTGCTGGCTGTCCTCTCATTATTCTGGATTCTCACTCCTGGACCGGAAAGGAAAAGGAACAGAGATGTTCAGCAGCCCCTGTAAGGTCTGACCCCCACCCAGTGTCTGCATCTCCCCCAGCCATGCCCAGCTGAATAACGACACACTGCCAGAGGGATTCCCAGGGATCACTGATTCTGTGTCACCTAGGAGTTTTGTTTGTTTGTTTGTTTCTGGAGTATAGTTGCTTTACAACGTTGTGTTAGTTTCTGCTGTACAGAAAAGTGAATCAGCCTTACGTACACATACATCCCCTCCCTCCTGGACGTCCTTCCCATCCAGGTCACCACAGAACACCAAGTAGAGTTCTCTGTGCTATACAGTCGGTTCTCACTAGTTATCTATTTTATACATAAACCTAGAACATCATAGTTTTAATTCACAGAAACGTCAAAGGCTATTTAGGGAGGCCTATGTGTCTAGGAGTCAAGGGTGGCCTCTGGCTAGCGGCTAGCAGGAAGCCAGGGCCTCAGTCCTACTGCTGCAAGGAAATGAATTCTGTCAACAACCTGAGTGAGAGTGGAACTGGATCCTTCCCCAGTCGAGACTCCAGATGCAAACACAGCCCTAGCCAATACCTCGAATGCAACCTTGCAGAGGACCCACCAAGCTATGCCCAGGCTCCTCACCCACAGACACTGAGATCATAAATCATAAAACTTAGTTTTAAGTTACTAAGTTTGTGGTATTTGTTATGAAAAGATATAAATCTAATACAGACTGTATTATTTGCTAGGGCTGCCATAATAAAGTACCACAGATTGGGTGGTTTAAGCAACAGAAATTTACTTTCTGACAGTTCCAAAGGCCAGAAGTCCAAGATCAAGGTGTTGGCAGTGTTTTGTTTCTCCTCAGGCCTTTCTCCTTGGCTCCTAGATGGCCACCTTCTCACCATGTGTGCACATGGTCTTCCCTCCGTGCCTGTGTGTCCCAATCTCTTTTCTAAGGACACCAGTCACATCGGATTACAGCCCACCCAAATGACCTCATTTTGACTTAATTATATCTTTAAAAGCACAGTCTCCAAATAAAATCACGTTATGACCTACTGAGGGTTAGGCCTTCAATATATGTATTTTGGGGAGCACCCCATTGAGCCCATAACAAGAACCACTGGAAGGGAGAAGATGTTTTTTGTTTTTCTGAGATGTTAGCAAAGTGTGGAGATTCAAAGCTCAGGCTCAGAGTCAGACTGATAGCTCTGAATCTTGGCTCTGTGGCTGTTTAGCTGCGTTACTTTGGATATGCTACTTTACATTCTGACATCATTTCTTTGTCTGCAGTAAAAAATAATAAAACTACCTACTTCAAAGTGCTGTTGTGTTAACCAAATAAAATAATCCGTTTAAAGGGCTTGATCTAGTGCCCGGCAGGTGATAAACTAGATACACCTCAGCTGTCCTTAAATGGTTATCATCAACACGCATGGTTACTGTGTACTGGTGAGAAGGTGGTAGAAGCTTAGATGTCATCGTCAGAGCTTGGGAAAACTGACTCGTTATAGACTCATCACATTTAGGGCTCGGAGACACACCTTGGAGTCTGCCTTGCGCCTAGTCTCCTTAAAGGAGAGCCTTAGAAGGGAGGTCGGGTGCATAAGCCTTAACAAGGGAAGGCTCTGGGGAGGAGGATGTGAAGAAAACAGGAGAAAGCAGCAGGGATGTGGTCTTAGCTTAAGACTACCTTCAACTTCATTCCAGAGGAGCTCGGAGCACGAATAGCACGAGTCAACTCTCTTGGAGGCAAAGGAGCTGGGCCTTTATACTGCAACCCCAGTCGGCCATGAGCTCCAGGCGTTTGGGGAGTGGTAACTTCCCGGGCGCAGCAGTTCCCCAAGGACAATTAACTATTCAGAGAAGGGGGCGGCTGTGAGCTGTTGGCCCCCAGCACACTCAGAAGCCGGAGATGGAGGCACCAGGCAGTAAAGGGGTCTGGATGCGGCCCCAAGAAAGTCCCGAGGTCCAATCCCGCACAGGGACACCCAGACCCAGGAAGTCTGCTTGCCTTCTGGAGGTCACTTAGCGAGGTAACGGCAGCCCAACTCGAAGCCGTGGTCGGAGACGGCGTCCTCTGCACAGACCTGCCCAAGACACACGAGGGCTCTCAGAGCGACGGCACCTGACTCAGCAGGCTGCCGAAGAGCAAACGCGGCAAAATGCGTGACAGCTCCTGGCAGGAGGCACGGCACACAGCATAGACTCCATAAACCCGAGACAGCCGGAGGGGCTCAGACCGTAACACGGGGCTGGCGGTGCCTTGCCGGCTGACGCCCCAGAAGTACACGAGACGCCCGTGAGCTCAGGGCCGCCCCGCCCCGGAAGCGCCCGGACCCTGGCGCGTATTTCCGGCGCGACGGCAGACGCGGGGACGCCGGGCACCTGTCCTGACCTCCCGTTCGCGCTTGCTCGGAGGCGGCTCCCTGGAGGCGGAAGCCGGTGCTTTTGGGCGAGACGTGACTTGGAGTCCGGGAACCCGGATCCCGGCCGGGCGGGTGGGCACGATGCGGCTGGGCTCCGGGACCTTCGCCGCCTGCTGCGTAGTGATCGAGGTGCTCGGGGTCGCGCTCTTCCTCCGAGGATTCTTCCCGGCTCCCGTTTGTTCCTTTTCCGGGACGGAGCACCAAACAGAGTCCCCAGCGCCCGAACCCTCGGCTGGTATGGACCGCTCCCCGGGCGTCTCTGCTCCCCGGGCCCCACTCTTCCCGGAGGACCCTCCTTATGAGCCTCGCCTCTTGGACTTCTTCCCGCGGCTCCCGGGTGGTCTCTTCCATTCTGGTCCCCACCCCCTAGGGTCCCCTTCTTACCGTTCCAGCCTCCTTTTATGTATCCTACAAGTTTGTGGCAAGCACCACTACCAGCCCTACTAAGATCCTCCTCCCTGGTCACCGCAAAGTAAGATCTCCATACCCGTAAAGAGTAAGCGTCTCCCCAGCTCTACTCATCCAGTGACACCCCAACCCCCTTCTCTGAGCAGATGTTTGGGTCACTGCCTGTTCCAGGCACCCTTTTTGCTCAGGAAGACACAACAGATAAGATTGCTGCCGACCTCTCGTTTTTTCTTCTATGGCATTCCTCTAAGACCCCGTTTTTTCCAGTAGTTAAGACCTCCCTGCCTAGGCCCCTCCCTGGCCCTCACCTACCCAACAGTATATCTTAGGTAAAGGAACTCACGTTTTGGATCAAATCCACACAATACCAGCTACTAACCATGGAAAGACAGTTTGTAAATGCTCGCCCATCCCCTACCTGCAACACTGTGTTTTAGGGCAATCTCCCTAATGTCCCATTCCAGGATACTCACGAAGGGACTCCTCTGTGCCAGTACTCCCCATCATGCTAAGGGGAATTCACTACATAATATTAGGGCTCCCTGAGCTTACTTGTTGCCCACCCCCTGATCCCAGCGTTGTTTCCCAAGAACAGGCCTTTTTCTTTGGCTCAGGATATGTAGGTGTGACAGAGTATGTGCTGGAGAAGTAAGCAGAAACTAGATTATAAGGTGCTTGAATGCTAAATAAAGGTTAAATTCAATTTTCTTTTTCTTTTTCAAACACTCTTAGGAGCCATTTCCAACTGGACCAAGCTCCCACCACCTCTCTTCAGTAAAGTTGTTATTATGCTGATAGACGCCTTGAGAGATGACTTTGTGTTTGGGTCAAAGGGTGTGAAATTTATGCCCTACACAACTTATCTTGTGGAAAAAGGATCATCTCACAGTTTTGTGGCTGAAGCAAAGCCACCTACAGTTACTATGCCTCGAATCAAGGTAAAGAGTTTGACTGAACGTATTATACATCATGGTTTGGCTCTTTCAGAGGGTTAGAGGGGCTCTCTGTAGTCTGTTACTTGGAGTCCCAGTTTTAACTAAGTGGAAATTAGTTTGGTGCTGTCAACCTGGCTGGGGCAATAGAATGCTGAAAAAGCCTCCCAGATAGGATGGAACTAAGACCCATGATTTATGCCCTCTATAAAGGTAGCCAACAGCTCATGCTTCATGGGAAGCGTAACATTTAGAGCCAGATCATCTAGGCCAATCTAATCCAAGAGATACCATGCTCCTTGCTAACCTGCTATCTTCTTTAATCATCAGGGGGTCAGTTAGAATTCTGGGAGGAGCCTCTAGGGTTATCTAGTTCAGTCACTTGACTTTATGGATGAGGAAGAAATTCAGATAAGTTAAATAACTTGTACAAAATTTTAGTATACACAGTGACCAAACCAACATGATCTGGCCTCACAGATACCTGTTTTTACTCTATAAACCGCCTTCAGGTGTTCAGCCTAGTGGGAGTGCCTTTAAAGTACATATGCTTTACTGCTTTACTTAAGAACTGTGGGGAAAGAGAAGAGTAAAGCTTTATTGATTTGCTCAGAAACAAGTTTTTTTTTTTAAAATAACATCTCTGCCTTCATGGAACTTTCAGTCTCTAATGAGAGACGTAGCCATTAAACAAATGAACGTACAAGTAAACGTGCAGTTACAAAGTGTGATTAATGCATAATGAAAAAGAACAGAGCGTGATGTTCAGTGCTGGTTGGGGGCTCAATTTAGATTGGGGTGGTTCAGAAAAGCCTGTCTGAGGAAATTGCATTCACACTTAGACCCGAAGGTTGAGTAAAGAAGTGGGATCAGAAAAGGACAGAGGACCTTAAAAGTTTGTGAATATACTGCAGACCGGTATGGTGTAGAACTCTCTGGCTGAACCTTACATCTGTGGATGATCGTGTGACACCTTATTAGTTGGTGAGAAGGTGTCACTTCTTGATTTAAAGCTTGGGGGCAGCATTAGTAGTTACTCAGCAAATGTTTACTGGGTGAGTAAAGCAGTCTGGGATTGAAGGGGTTCATGCCGCATCTTTTACTGACTTTTTTTTCTTGAGTTTCCCATTCTCTCTGCCTCTTTTGGATGTGGTTTGGCCTTCATTCAATATTTATTGAGGATCTATATGTACTGTGTGCTGTTCTAGATAAGAGGGATTCAGTGAAAAAACAAGACAGCAACTGTCCTGTCCTCATGAAGCTTACTTTCTAATTGAGGGGACAGAAAATATGTAAGTATACAAATAAATAATCAAAATTGTTTCAGGAGGTGATAAATGCTACGGAAGAAATTGAGGAGGAGAATGTGATGGAGAGTGATGGGGAGTCGGGGAGGCCACCTGTAGTCAGGATGCTTGGGAACAGCCTTTAGGGGTGCAGTCGTTCTGCTGAAACAAGTCCTGTGGAAGCTGGAAGCAAGGCATCCAGGCTCCTGACCACCAGGATCACTGCTTTCTTTACCTGTCCTGTCAGAAGTGTGGGAGGAACCCATTCCTCCTTTGTTCTGATAAGAAAAGAGTTGTTAGGAATCTGGGCAGATTTGTAAGAAAAATGTAAGTGAGCGTGGTGGCTCCAGGTTCTGTTCAGTCTTGCACATTGGCCGGTGTGGCCCTCCCTTTGGTTTCATTTTACCAAACCAGTGTTTTGTTTTGGGTCCTTTGCAGGTTCTTGCTCCTCATTCTCTATCAGGGAGGAGCTAGTATACAGGAAGTCCATCCTGGAGTTAGGGTTACCTTGCTCTGGAATTTGATAGGATCAGGTAGTGTTGGCTAAGGAGTGTGTCCCCTGCCCTGCCTCCACCTAGGAAGGGACTTAGTTCATCTGGAGGTGCTGATACAATTGCCACGAGACACCAGTTTTAAAATTTCAAGACTAATGTCTCTAGTAGCATGTTCACATGTTAAGATGCTGCAGTAGCTTCCTTCTAAAACGTTGTAACTGATTTTTGAATGCCTTTCCTTTTCCTGGGAATTTATAGTTGTAACAGCGGCAGTTACCACTGGCTGTGGTGCACCCGTGGTGCAGGCACTGTCTTGTACACTCTTACCACAGCCCCATGGAAGCTCCATGATGTTGGTGCCACTCTCTTCTCCATTTCCCAGATGAGGAAACAGGCTTGAAGTGTGAAATCTCACAGCTGGCATCAGAAACCGAGCATAACCTTATGTTTGCCTAGTTCCAGAGCGTTGCTTGGTCACACTGTGTTATACAGCAACACTGTGTTACACAGAATAAGGTGACCAGATCAAATTCTCTTTTAATAGTCTCTGCAGAGCCCTCCTTAATTCTCAGAAGTCAGGAAACTGCTGTTCCCAAGACCACAGCAACCCCAGGGAAACCTCCAAGGAGATGACAGATAAGCGCTCAAAATTCCTGGGCTCTCAGCTGCAACTTTTTTGCTGCCTACATGTTTCCTGGGGTGAAGGGGATACCAGGTAGTCCCTGCCCTTCTTAAAAATGTCCGTGTGAACCCAAACTAGTGTGAAGAGGAGGGAAGTACCTTATAAAAGCCCAGAGGAAAGGGTGGGTAGACTCAACCCCAAGTGGTGGGAGACATTATAAACAAAGTCAACTGACAGACAATAAATGGAAAAATTATTTACAGTTAACAAGATGTGAACCCCATGATATGTAAAGAGGGTCCAATCAAGGGCAACAATCCAGGAGCAACTGGACAAAGGATAGAAAGAAATCCACATAGAAAGAAACTGAAATATGCCAGTAAGCATAGGAAAAGATTCTTAACTGCACTAGTAATCAGATTAAAGGCAACTAAAGAGTCTTATCACATTGTAAAAATTGAAAGGTTGATGATAACACTCCTCACAAGAAATGAGGTGAACAGATCTCTGTATACTGTTTATGTGACTAACCGGACTCAGCCAGCACCTCCACTACCCCCACTGTAGGCCAGTCTGCTATGGTGTGAGCCTGGACTGTAAAACTATCCCAGCACTTCTCACCCAGAACCTGTCCAAACAGATCACGTTGCTCTGCTCTAGTCCCAACAGTCCTCCAGTGGCTTACACTCTGCCTCCTAACCCAGGCCTCAGGGTGCGTGGTCTTCCCCCGTTTGCCTCTTCACCCTCATCTGAGCCGATTTCCCTCTTCCTGTGAGTTTATCCACGCAGATCACACCTAGCTCCGTTCCCCATGTGTGCTGCCCCCTTTCACCTTGG